CGCGCCTGACGTCAGGAAAACGGCCGCGGGGAGAGGCCGAAATGCCCACCTGCTTGCTCACCGAAAGCTCTTGGTTGACGTTGGAAGGGGAGCAAAAAAAAAATGTAGCAGTTCAGTGGTTGGATTTCCGCCACCAAACCACAATGACCAACAATGCAAAATGCTTCCCAAGAACAACCATGAGCTGCTACCCTCCGAACATAGCACCCGTGGGACCTGGAAGATCAGATTCTTGTAGAGACCTCTTGGGCCCCCGGTCAGGTGCTATGTGGGAGTGACCTGGTTGCTCACTGAAAGCTGCTCAGATTTACGAACTTTTGGGGGGTGAAATGGAAATTCAACCACTAAACCAACTGAAAACCTAAAACCTCAGGGGACGGCTGAGGAACCACCGACAGAAATGAGGGCGCCCTGCTGGGGAGTGGCCCCCTCAATGGAGGGGCAAGCTACCCCCCAATTCTGGGGACAGCTTTCCCACATGGCAAATCTGCAGCTGGGTGGGGCACTGGCTTGTTTCCACCAGACTTGTTCGAATCTCCCTTCAGTTTCCCTTTGCAAGAGCCGTCTTGTTCAACCCCAGGATTTGCCACTGGGGGTCACTGGATTTGCATTTCCCAGATTTGCCATTCACTGGTGCAGCTTCAATCTGCTTGCGGCAAAAAGGGAGATTCAATCGACTCCTGGCTGAGTCCGGGTGGCTCGCCCACCCAAAAACTCTATTAACATAGAACCTGAGACGTTCCTGAAAGACCAACATCTGCCGCGGCTTCTACCCAGTCTTATCCCAATCTTTCTGGAACTTAGTATACGCGCTTGTCTTGGTTGATGTTGGAAGGGGAGCAGAAAAAACAAGTTAGCAGTTCGGTGTTGGGATTTCACCCCCTTAAACCCTAAACCACCATAAGCAAACATGTGCGTATAAAAAAAGAACAGTTCCCCAACAACCAGCATGTTGTACCCCTCAGTTGTTCAGTGACCCTGGAAAAAAAAAAAAAAAAAAATGAATTGAACCCTTTTTCGGGCTTGGACCATTCTAGTGGGGCAGCCACCAAAAAAAAAGGGAAAATGAAAAATAATTGGGGCCACTGAACAACTGAGACCCATGTTGGCCTGTGGCAAACCAAAAGGCAGCGCTTTTTTTCCCGAGGCGCTGTGACCTCGAAGGTCAGCTCGAGGCTCGAAGGAGCCGGAGCCGGGTAGCCCCTGAGCTCGTGGAGGGTGCGGCGTCTTCGACCCGGAAGATTTTTTCCCGGCCGCCCAAAACGGGGAAGGAAGAACCACGCGGTGAGAAAACGTCCATTTGGCTTTTCGGCCCCTGGAAAACAGAAAATATGTCCAGTGATAGATTCCCTTTAAAACCAGGGGAACAAGACATTCTTCGGCAAATGGAAGTAAAGGTAGCAGAGCTTATCCTTCCTCCGAACATAGCACCCAAAAAGGATTGGTACCTGGAAGATCAGATTCCTCTTGTAGAGACCCCCCTGTCAGGTGCTACGTTAGTGGGAGTGAGGGTACCTGTTTGGGATTTGTTCGGGGAATGGGTCCTAGTTCCAATCCACGAAAGGTAAAAAAGTTCAAAGGTTTCTAAATGTGCGGCTCCTTGTTTTGCAGGCAACCCCCTTGTTTTTGTTTTTTTTGAAGGGACGCAAAGCAAACCCAAATTCCCATGTCTTCTTAGAGAAAAAAAGAAACAACAGAGAAACGCACCGACCCGCGCAAGCGGGAGGGCAAGGGCGCCAAAAAATTTGGCCGTTGCCCAGGCGTTGGAACCAATCCCAAAGAACCTGGAGAACTCGGGGAAGAAAAGCCAAGGCCCTTGCCATGTCACCTGACCAAAAATCAGCTGGAAAAGGTGGGAAGGTGGAAACTCCCATGGCAGGAAGGTGAAAAAAAAACTCCACCCCGTGACGGGTTGAAACATCTGCCCCCCGGCGGCTTGGGGCTTTTGTAGACAAGCCAAACTTCGTGCTTGTACCCTCCCACCATGGACGAGTCTCCTCAGGGGTGCTTTGAAACCCATGCCACTGCGCTTTCCGATCCTTGCCACACACGTCCTTTTGGGAGCCATGAACCAAAACTAAAAACATCAAACACATGCCATGAACGGCAAGTCTGTGTTCTCAACCTTGGGTGGTCTCCATACGAACCGAATTCCTTATGAGAGACCAGGCAAGGCTTTTCTTAGACTTGCCCTTCCGAGCAAAGTTCCAACGTTTTGCATACTCCCAAAGGTCCAAGGTCCAGATGTTCAAATATGATTAAATGGCGACCTTGCCCTTAGTTCCCCTTGGTGTTGAACGGCTGTTTCAACCTGGGTTTCCCTTGGTTGCCATTTCTTCTGGCTTGGAACTGGATGTCGCCAATTTCCAGCATCCTGGCTCCAAAAATCCTGATATTTGTGGTCTCTCAAATGGAGGAGCCCACGGTTCGCTATTTCAAAGAGCAAAAAGGAGACCAAACATCTTCAAAGGGGCTTCCTTACTTTGAGAAACCCATGTCCTTCTCAGAATCAGAGAATCAGAGAACCACCCAAAAATGGATGGTTGCCTTTTCAAAAGCCATCCCCCAAAAAGAATGTGGAAGCAAGGGGTTGCTTACCCCCTCCCAATACTTTTTTTTTTAAGTTTTAGGGCATGAGCTCAAATGGCGTCAATGGAAAGGCCAAGAAGAAGAGATTCAAGCCTTTCCAATTCCTCCACTCTATCACTTGTCCTCCCAACCCTTCCATCTATCACTTCTTCATCTAGAAATCCATGAAGACATAAAAATTGGGATTGTAAACGAAAAGTGAGAACCGCTGGTGATAGGAATGTAGGAAGCGGTAGATAGAGGAATGACCAGAGGATAGGGAAGGAAGAGGAAGCGGATGAAGTGAGCATCCTCACTTCCCATCTCTTCCCATTCCTCTCCTCTTTCCATCACACACCTAACCACCATCCCAGACAAGACAAATAAGAAATGGGTGGTGTGTGGGAAAGAGATAGACACGAATGGAGGCATGTCCCGTCTGTTAATCCTGGAAATTGGTAAGCCTCCATCATATTGTCGTTACAGCGGGTAGACCAGGTGGTTTTTTACTACAGATTCGACAGATTGAAGGACATTGGGTGCCAGGCAAAAAGGGATCTGGAGAAGTCTGGCCATATTTCCCCGCTCTCTTCGTTCACTCTTTCCCCAGCCACCATTCTAAGGCTGGGAGATGTAACTAAGGAAATCGGCCAGTGAAGGAATCTCTAGGTTAGGCCGGGCAACAAGAAGATAGATTTGGAAAGCTCATAGTTTATTCAAACTACTGTGGATGGACGCACCACCTAAGAAACCATGAGAAACCATTGTTCGTCGGTATTAACAGGGGAATGATCATTCCAGAAAAAAACAAATATTATGTGGTGCGTTGCATGGATTTTGCAACCATCCACAGAAAAAAAAAAGGAAAAAAAAAAAAAACGAGACCAGTGGAGGTAGTTGGACCCAGACCCCCAGTGGCCATGGGTGCCCCCCTGGCCCCCTTCAGCTCCTGCCACTGCCGAGCAGCCCGCGCGCTTCGGAGCTGGCGCCGTTGGCAGCTGGCAGCTTTTGCTCGGCACCTGGCAGAACATGCCACTGAGAACCCTTGGGATGGGGGAGCCCATGCAAGATGACCATTAAAAAAGAAAGAAAGTTGCCTGGGAGCCCATGCAAAATGACCAGAACCCAACAAAAAACACAAAAACAAGTTGCCAACCAAAGACATCCTTAGGCACCCAAGGTTCCAAGCGGCTTCTTTGCTTTGCCGTTTTGAAAAGCGATCAAAGAGTACTTGGACCCTCGGGTCCTTGCTGGATGGCCTCAGTTCCGAACCTCGCCAAGCTTGCGAATGTCTTTACATCCCAAGTACGGAAAGAACAACACCCCACGGCCGTTGCGGTGCTGAAACACCTAGTCCTAGTGATAAAAGTGCGGTTCTTCTTTGCCGAGTATGCCAAGCCCAAGCTGCGCCGAACAAGTTGGGGCTGAGGTGTTGTTTTTTTTTGCATAGCCCTGGCATTAGCCTAACCCTGGCACAGCCTGGAGACACTGACGGACAAAGGCTTGGGTAGGTTTAGGGTAGGCTTGGGGTAGTCCGTTCAAAGCTGTTCAGACCCGGCAACGTTTTGACATTCTCAGCATCGTTTTCAACATTCTCTGCATCACCAGGTGTTAGTGTAGGCTGGGTTTAGGGTGGTTTCCAGGTTGGCTCAGGGTTGGCTCCGGGTGGGTTCGGCTGTGTTTGCGGCAGATGGTTCAGTGCTGGTTTATGGTGGGGGCTGGTCTCGGGTGGGTTTAGGGCCGGCTTCGGCCACGGTTGTGTTTTAAGCCACGATGCCGGGCCTGGACCTACCCTAAACGGACTAAGCAAAGGCAAACAAAAGCCTTGACGCTGAATTAGCCCATAAACCAGAGGTTAGCAGCGATGACATATCAAGATGGGGGATGCTTTGGTCCCAATCCAACGCGAACAGTATTCTTGTTTAGCGGTGTTCCTCGCCCCAGTTTGAAACCGCCGGGCCTTCTGCAACTTCAACTTCGGCGTCGCCGGCGTTGGGCGGGGTGAAGCCTCGGGGTGTAAAAGATGCCCTTTTCGGATCCCCCGTGCCAATTGACTTTCGGAGTTGCTCGGAGAACCCCCCCCCCCCGAAAAAGAAAAAAAAAAAACGGACCAGGCAAACTTACCCGACACAATGACGCCTTCTCCATTAGGCGACTGGTCCTGAGTGCACCGGGACAACAAAAGGAGCAACCATTCAAGTCGACTTAATGGTGAATGAATAATGGATGATATGATGTGATGAAGATGATGATGATGATGATGATGATGATGATGATGATGATGATGATGATGATGATGATGATGATGATGATGATGATGATGATGATGATGATGATGATGATGATGATGATGATGATTGATGATTGATGATTGATGATTGATGATTGATGATTCATGATTGATGCTTGATGATTGATGCTTGATGCTTGAT